CTACGATTGCTAAGCGGATTTTGAAGTCATATTGGCAGTTATAGTTATTAGACTTATCCAAATGGGAGACTATTGGATTAGGTGTCTAAGCCCATAACCATAATTGGTATGTACTTGATATGATAGTAGAATGGTCCTTTTGGGTTGCCTTCAGCATAGCAATTTGACGGGATGAAATATGAGAAAGAGGTTGATAAATGATTTATTAATATATTATAAGAATAATATATTAATTGAGAAATCATATTATTTAATTAGTATTGATCATATATTAATTTGGAATTAATTTAGTGATCAAAAGAGACTGATGAAAAGAACGGGGACTGGTTGTGTAAATCAGTGATAGTTATAGTTTGGGCTAATGGACCCTATTAATAAGGGTTGGACAAAAATTCTATGGGAGTCCACAGAGATTTCGTCCAAGGCTTATCATATGGGGGTATGTGGATTGCTTAGAGCCTAAGAAAGGGAATTAGGGTTTCCAGTTGAAAATCCTAAATCCTAGTAGCAGCTCAACTATAAAAGGACCCCTTGGCTATAGTTTTCGGTCCCTATGCTTCATAAGAGAACCCTAGCCGAAATTGATAGCCTCTATCCTCTCTCTATTATTCATCTTTTGCTAAGTGGTGTTTGTGACTCCATTAGAGGTGCAAAAATTGAGGCACTAAGCTCTTGAAGGTCAAGATCAAGCTATCAACAACAAAGGTATTCTTCTAACCCTAGTTTAATTGTTAAATCCGAAAATTGTATGCTAGATTAGGGTTCTTAATTTGGAAAATTAATTTGCATGTATAACTTAAGAAAAAAACTAGATCCAAAGAAAATAGGGTTGCATGTGCACCATAGGAATGGTGTAATGCTCAAAACCCATCAACTTCCACCAACCCTGTAGCACTCATGTATGATAGTCATACATAACATTGGATCTTCTAAACAGTCGAATACTGATTCTACCCCAAGCCCACAACCAGACAAGGAACATGAAATAAGGCCAAACCAAACATTCTCAAGCTATAAAATCTTAGTCAAGGTTCTAAATGGCGTGAGGCATGGCATGGCGGCAAGGCCAAGCCTCAAGCTTAACGAGCCATGGCGTTTTTCAAGGCGTGATGTAAGATGGCGATTTTTTATTAATTTAAAATTATATTACCACATAAATATAAATTTATATTAAATATAACTACTTTTTAGAAGTGTTAGATCAATAACTAATAACAAAAAGTTAACAAAAACCACAATACTTGTATCTCCGATTTAAAAAGACATAACAAAGAGCAAAAAAATGTGTCTCAAACGAAAAAACACGCGCCATAACACGCCATAACGTGCCATGGCGCGCCATATCACGCCTTGCCACGCGCCACGCCTAACAACAATGTTATGAAGCTTTTCGTAACGGCGAAGCCACGCCTCACGCCAAGGCGCGCCTTGGCGCGCCTTTTAGAACACTGATCTTAGTTATGTACAACTATGATCCATACACTAAGAAACTGCAGTAATGATGTCAATTCCATATAGGTAATAGCCCTAGGCTATCAGGCATCATATATCAGACAATTCTATCATGCAATTCCTGAAGATACCTGGCCTACTACTAGCATGTTGTTCAACCATAAACATAATATCAAATAACAATGTGTGTAACTTGGGGTATACTTGTTGGATTAGCTATCTAAGACCATAACTATTTTGGTTGTGGGCTTGGGGTCCTTTGGGTTGCCTTCACCATAGCAACTGATAGGATAAAGTAAGGAGAAGAGGATTAATTATGATTTATTAATATATTATAAGAATAATATATTAAAAGAGAAACCATATTGTTTAATTAATATTAGTCAAGAATCAATTAAGAATTAGTTTTGTGACTAAAAGAGATTAATTAAATAAAGGGTACTGATATTATAATTATAAGATAGTTGCATAAGTGGGCTAATGAACTCCATAGAAGTTGGAGTGGACGAAATCTATGGGGAAACCCATAAGAATTCGTCCAAGGCCTCTAAAGAGGGAGTCTATAGGCTACTTAGAGCTTAAGCAGTAAAATTAGGGTTTCCTTGTTTGATAACCCTAATAGCCTCACTATATAAGAAAACCTTAAGGCCCTAAAAACGTGGTTAAGTGATCCTTAAGGGTTTTTGGACGTTTTTGTGCCTTTTCCTACTTCTCTTTGTTCATCTTGTTGCTTATGGTGTTTGTGACTCCATTAGAGGTGCAACATTTGAGGCACTAAGCTTTCAAGCGTCAAGATCAAGAGGAATTGTGATTGTTATCGCTACATAACAATCAAGGTAAGATCTAAAACCTAATTCACATGTTAGTTTGATTATTATATGCTAGATCTAAGGTTTATGAGCTTTGGATGAGTATTGCATGTTCATTAGACAAACTAGATCCAAAGCTTTAGGGTTTGCATGTACACCATTGGATTGATGTTTTGTTTAAAACCCATCAATAATTTCCTGCTCCGGCTGATCGTACGCATCCCATCCTTCATGGTTACTTTTGAAAGTAATCTTGAAAACCATCTTAAAAACTTTTGACATTCCCTAGTTTAAGTCTAGATGCACACAGATGTTCATCCAATTCTCTCAAACCAAGGCTCTAATACCAACTTGTAACACTCCAAAATTCATAAAAAAAATTAAAATTTTAAAATCAACCATCAACCAATCATTGTTTACAAAAAGTGTCATTATTTCAAAAGCATTATTCAAAATCAAAGTTTTCCCAAGACTTAGTGAGATAAAACAAGAAGATGTGCATGATTACGCCTTCTTTTTCCCAAGATCCTCAGAAGTCGGGACATTGACCGCATACGAACGGCGTACCGCTTGGTACGCCCAACGTACGCACCTGGTCATCCCTTCTTCTCATTAAGAGCTTAATACAAGAAGTCTTTACGTCCAAAGTCAGATCCAAGCCCCAAATGACGTTCTTGACCATAAAGTTTCCAACTATATAGTCTTGCATGGCCACAAAGTGCTTAACACTAAAATCCTTAACTACATAGCCCATTAGGACCTTATAGCAGATACATGGAAAGGAAGAAATAATCAAAACCACATTTTTATGCTTCTAAGCGCCTTAAAATGTCCAAAAGGACAACTTAAATGGGTTAGAGTAGCTTAAATTCAAAATATCAAACTAATGGAACCAAAAGGACACAAACTTCGTGGCTAACTTAGATCTATGCATAGCTTCATCAAGTTCAAAGTTTTGTACCTCTAAGTGAAGCCAAATGGTGATGAGATTTTGGATCCAAAGATTCCTACTCCTCCACGATGATCTTCTCTTCTTCCTCTCTCCTTCAATGACCAAAACACACACACAAAGCTCAAAAGTGCACTAAAAGTGGATTAGGGTTTGTTTGGAGATGAAGGGAAGTTGAAGACTGATGAAAGAAGGTAGGCTGGGGACTTAAATTAGGGTTTAGGAATCATGCATGCATGCCATTTGTACACTAGGTACGCCCGACGTACGTGACCTAGAGCTAATAATTATGAAAATGCCACTATGGGCCATTTTGCAACATTTTTCATACACAAAGGCAAAATACAATAAATCTTCATAATTAGGGTTTAATTTGGAAATACCTCATCAACGGGATGTTACATCATGGCTTCGTGTGGACTACATCAGGAGATCATTTTTATACGACACTCTCTCCATACCTTTTCTCAAACATGATTTTAAGAAATAGGAAATAGCTTGTGAAGTATGGGAAAACCTTGAAAGGGTTTTTCGTGATAACAAAGCATTCAAGATCATCCAGCTAGATCGAGAACTCAGAAACTTCTCGCTTTGTAACCCTTCCATCACAGACTATTGTAACAAAATCAAATCTATTGTTGATCGATTAGAACACATGGATGCCAAAGTTTCTGAAACCAACCTTGTCGTATACATGATTCATGGCTTATCTACAAAGTTCTAGTATATTGCAATTAACATTCAACATTGTGACCCACCTCCATCTTTCTAGGATGCTAGATCCATTCTATTATGTAAAGGACAACAGATGGTGCAAGACAAAAAACGTGACTCCCTCATCACTCATGCCGACAGTTCGTCGTCTCCCCATGCCCTAATTGTACAGAATCCCACAAAAAACTCACCTTCATGGCAACAGAACAACACCGGTGGCAGAGGTGGCTACCGTGGGGGTCGTAATGGTCGACGTGGTGGATGGGAGGAGGACGCTACGACAGGAGAAGCAGCGGTGATGGTATCTCAATGGCGGTGGTCCGAATCAAGCTTCTGGCAACAGTAATGTGACCTTCGATAATTAGCGTGTGCGTCAAGGCACTTGGGTCTGGGCCTACACTCCTCAACTTACCATCGAACCCAACTCCCATGGAATATTGCCAAGCCCAAATGACCATCAGTTTCACACAAGTAGGCCAAGATCACAACCAACCCATTAGAATATAAATCAGCAGCAACATCAATTTTTCTCGCTGGCCAAACACTCATTTTCTTAACTGCAGGCCTATTCAGCTCAAAATCAAAGTACAGAGCTCACTACTCATCCGTAAATGTTTAATACCATGACGTTTAATGACCCGGGGTAAGCCAATTGGTACATTGACATTGGCGTCACCTCGCATCTTCACTCGAATGCTGGTATACTTAAGTTTGTTTTAGATAAATCCAGTAATTTTTCTTCATCTGCCTTAGTTGGTGATGGATCCTTAATACCTGTAACAAAAATGGGACACACTACTCATCCGCTTCCCAATCTTACCGCACCTTAACTCTTTGAAACGTTTTAAATATGCCTTATATCATTAAAAATCTGATTTATGTTCGCCGTTTTGTTCATGAACTTTGAGGACCATTTAATAGAGTTAGATGATGTTATTAGGAGGGGCTCGACATCCATTTGTCTCCTTAGAATCTCTGCCAGCGCTTACGCTTAATGAATCAATTTCATAAAATTGATTTTCATAATTTATGAAGTATTTTAGGATGACCAACTATATGTTATTTAAGTTTAGGGGGCTTTGGTAAAGGGTATATGTTATAAGAGGATGGTAAGTTGCTTAAAATAACAACATTTTTTTTTCTTTTTTATGTGAGTATATTCGGTACTCTTGTTAAGCTCGACTGTGAGCATAATGAACTCTTATTTAACTTGTAATAGATGTTAGTTTATGGAGCTTTAATTTTTTTAGTTCAACGGCAAAGATATTATGTATTTTGGTTTAGTTTTTATTTGGAGCTTTAGTAAAAGTTACAATATGTGATTTGGTCAGTTTAGCCCAATGATTCTCATTCCATACAAACATTGGATTTATACAGATAGAAATGCAAAGCTAAGATACAAATATAAAACAAATACAATATATGTTTAATATTCACTCGTAGCCACTTTGTCACAAACAAAACGAATATCAATTTCAATTTCTTTAGTATGTTTATGTAGAACTAGAAAGGGAAACCCTAAATTAGGGTTTGGGAGAGGAGTTGTTAGGATTTCAATTGTATCAACTAATATCCTTTAATGGCCTATCAGTTATTTTAGACTTCTTGTAGTATTAAATACATATTCTTCTCAAATGTTTTACGCTTATGGAAGTCATGTATGATAGTTTACCATCATGCATTGCATGTCATCATGTGTATGAAAAAGTCAAAGTCACGTCACACATGTTATACCTATTCCAAAGTTTTGAATTGTATATCAAACATATTTACAAAGACGTGTATTTACAAAGAAGTGATTTTTACCTCTTTCATCCTCTCCTTTCTTGTATTTACAATAATACCACTATCATCATCATCATCGATCCCAACCCATCAACATTTTCCTAACCCCTTCCTCAATCTTACCCTTCTGCACACACAATTTGTCCCCTTCATTCAATAAAACTCTATAAACTTCCCATTCTCTCCCTCCAATCAAATGCCTACTAATTTCAGCCTGCAACAACACATTCATACTCTCAAACACAACACTCAAAAACTCAATTTTGGTAGAAATAGAAATTACCGAAAATATGTCCATATTCAGCATCTTGAGAGCAAGGGTAATATCGTAAAATACCAACGGCCTCCCTTTCCCACATAACTCCACCGGATTTGCAACAACCAACTCTGTGTCGGGCCCACGGTTGACCAAACCTACCCTCAAAGGGCGAACTAATTCCATACGGATTCTAGAACACAATGCACTTTGTTTATTTGGATCCACAATCTTCTTTCCATCAGCTTGTACTATAAACAAATCAAGTTCACAAATTTTTCTATCTTTCTTCATAAACCTCCCATATGATATCTGATAAGAAAAAACATATACAGTTTAATGAAACCTTTTTCTTTTTGTTTATTAAAGATTATATAACCTTAAAGGGTATCTATATATATAGATATATATACCTGAATGTTGTAATCTTTCAAAGTTCTCATTATATCATAGAGGACTCCTTTGTGATCATGGCAAACAATCTGGACAAGTGTATGAGCAGGACTTAAGGAGTTATCAATCATGACTGAAACTGAAACTGAAACTGAAACACTTTCATGTTTGTTTTCATCCAACAATTCAAGATTAAACATGTCTTCTGTGATTTCTGGAGGAATAAAAGATGGTGGGCCATTAGAACATGCTGTGAAATTGGGTCCCACCATTTTTATCTCACAGCTTAACAAATCATCTTTAAGAACAGCTTTTAAATGATCATGTGTATCCTCCTTTCGTTTTGTTGTATGTAAAAGTTCCCTGAAAAGACTTTGTAAGCCCTAGAATTTCTGGAAAATATCATGAAAACATTCAAAGATTGATAAAGGAGAAGTTTTTATAGTATTGACCTTGTATCAGTCACGAAAAACAAGTCCATCACCATTCCATCAGGGGTGGTTGATACTTTGACTCTTTGAATTACAAGTTCAAGCTCGCAAAGAAGATGAGTCACATCTGATAGATAAAAGTATGTTTAAGAAAAATGAATTGGAGAGATGGATCTAGAATATAAACTGTGGGATTTGGGTTATGAAGTTGGATATGGTGTACCATGTAACAGGCCTTGTCGATCATGGCAGCAAAACTTGATGAGAAACACATCTGCAGGCTTGGGTGGTTGTGATTCAGGGTGGTAGAATATGAGTGTGTTAGCAGAAGAACAAGAAGGGCAAGCCTCCAATAGTCTCTTCTTCAATAAACTCCATAGCGTACCTGGTTTCCCAACTACCCAAAACACTATGTAACACCATTTTCCATCTGTAGATACATCTGCACATACCATCGAACAGTATCAAACAGTGATATTCTCTCAATTGTTTGAGCTAGAAATAGGTTTTGATAATATAAGTGTATAACAGTTTAATTCAAAGGCGAATTTTCGCTTTAATACCAGATGTTCAACATAAGCACAAAGTAGATTACGATTCTGAGAAAGAGGATAACTAAATTATCTTAAGCTATGAATCCGAAAACGAAAACCGCCTAATTAGTAATTATCATCAATACATATTCAAACGATGAACAATTATATGTATGTGAAACAGCGATTGAACTCAAAACTCAAATTATAAATCATGAATCACAAATAACAGATGACTCTGTTTTTCAAATTTAACGAAAGACCAAATAAAAGCACCAAAAGACAATCGGAGAAATCAGAGAAGAGTAACTACAAACATACCACCGCGAACAATGCTCAAACCGAAGAAGAGGATGGTGCGACAAAGATCACAACCAAGACCGGTTTTGTCAGGACAATTGATTGTGATTACAGTAGCTTCGTCTTCCTTTTCCGCCTGATTAATTATAACTACGTCGTCGAAAAGCATCTTCCTCCTTGCAATCTGTGAAGCAAATTAGGGTTTGAGAATCAAGTGGAATCCAGTGTTAAAAGAGGAGTAGGATTCCTACTGTATCCATTGATTCCATCTTTTATTCAGAGGATAATGGTGTTCTACGTCATTCCTCCAACAATTATCACATTATAAAATTAAGACCCTTGGAAATCTAATTTGTTTGGATTACAAATATATTTTTATAAAAAAGATTACATAAAATTTTGTCATTAAATTATAAAAATAACCCAGACAACTTTAATTATTAAAGATAAAAATAACTTTGAATTAAAAAAACAAGAAGATAGTCACCGATAATTGAAAACGAGAAGAAAGCGGTTGTTGTCTATGGGGTAGATGTCTTGGTTGACTTGTATGTTATATTAGTCTTTTCGATTGGATTTGGGTTTCGATTGAAAATATACTTTTAATTAAGTTTTACAAATTTTGCAAAAGTACCCATTAGATTTATATTAATTTTAATTCTGAAACCTCAATTTAGAATTCAAAATTGAAAAGAAAGGAATTATAATCATTTTAGGCATGATTTGGTACACATTTCACCAAATTTGTTGTGTATGATATTGAACAAATGGTTAAAGTTAAAAAAAAAAAACTGTTTTACTCACTTTTACCCTAATATGTGACTACTAATTTACCCGATAAATTTTACTTAAATGATGTCTACGTAGTTTGACATTTAATTAGATATTTTTACAGAAAAATCTAATATATTACTGATTACTTCAAATTTCACATATATTCTAGACGCCACTTGAATCATCAACCTTGAAGAGGGAAATAAATCATCTTGTTCATCCATTTAAAGATCCAAGAATGATTTCATATCATCCCTAAGTTGATCCATTTAATGAATTTTTATACCTAAACTCTTTTTCTCGTCAACCCCAATATAGCTAACCATCAATTGAACATATGTCAATGTGTTACTAAGCTGCATCCTCTATATGTTTTACCAACCGAATCACGAAGTTGTTAATGTGTTAGATTGTTTATATTGTTTTGTATTTTACTGTATAGTATAGTGGTTCCTTTGTAACTTATATATTTATACATTGATATCATGCATGTGACTCCTAATTAAGGGTTTTCCACACATGTTTAATTCCGTCGATGGATAAAAAAACAAATTCCTCTAAGGTTGTTTAGCATATGAAAGAGACCGACATATTAATGGTACTTCCAAACTCCTACCATTACTGACAAAAACATTACAACTACTAATACTATGATCATTTTCCATTTGTTTTATCTGAATTCATAGAATTGCTTACACCGTATGCCAACAACTATTCGAGTTGATTCAAAATCATCCCTATTTAATCGTAGTCTTTGCACTCACTTTACATATCACATCTCCTTCACAAGTGATTTCTAATTTTTCTCTGTTTTGGTTATAATGATTCTAATAAATCAAAAAAACTTATTAAAAGTTATTCATGATATGTTGTCGAAAACGAATATTATAAAATATTGAGGGAGAAGAGAGGGCAAAGGTTTTATTTTTTCCCCACACAATTTAAGAATTGGTGTGTGTATATTTAGTTTAGCTTTATTTCCTGTTCATTGTCTTGTTGTGGGCTTAGATTAGGACTGAGTATTCGAATGGATATAGGGTCCAGCATTATGTATGGCTAGCATACACGAGTGTTGCATGGTTTGTGGAAGATTCATGGGTGGGTTATGCGAGGTCGGTAGGCCAGTATAAGATATTTAGCATTCCTCTAGGAGTGAGGATTGAGTGATCACCATGCGTATGCATATTGTTAGGGTGTTGTGATGATACTTGAGGAAAATATGGGTAGGTGTGGAAGATAGTATGGGCCCGTACTACTGAAAGCAAAGGACCCATACGCGTAGCAAGGAAGTCACAAACCCTAGGGTTTAGTTGGGAGTTGTTTCCCTATTATTTATGTGGATTACCTGATATCTTCTTGGCGTAATTTCAAAATGGTGGTTACGAGGCATTTTGTGACTGGATCTGGATCAGGATCGGGATCAGGACAGAGCGATCATTGTGCCCTGACAACACCCGAGATCATCGGCCAGGATTAGCCAGCATTGACATAGGATCGTGTCAGGGAGATCATCCACGAGGAGGTGGTCGAGATTGTCTGGGGTCAGATTCCGAAGATGTTTGGGCCTATTAAGACCGCCCCAGTGGAGTAATATGATGATAGATATGCAACTCTACCTGATATGGCTATCACAGCAGCTACAACAGCTAAAACATCGGTAGGGGGAGGAGCTGGCCGAGCTTTTCAACACCGGGACTTCGATAACACGAAGCCCCCGACATTTGATGGAGATCAGGATCCGATCAGAGCCATGAGGTAGCTGTCTGAGGTGGAGGGTTGTTTCTTCATTTGTTCATGTCCTACTGACCAAAAGGTCAGATGTGCCCTAAACCTGCTGAGGTCCGTGGCAAAGGACTGGTGGAGATTGATGATTGGGTCGTATTCGGATGACCAGAGAGCTGCAGTTACTTGGCAGCAGTTCAGGGATATGTTTCGCGCTTATTATATTCCACAGGTCAGGTGGGAATGATTAGTTTAGGAGTTTTTGGAGTCGAGACATGACAGTGAAAACGGTGACGGAGATCACCCGTATGTTCACAGAGAGGGCGATGTTCTGCCCGGAGTTTGCCTCTAAGTAGGCTCAGTTGACATGTTATCTGAGCATGCTGAAGACTGACATTCGTCAGTTTGTTGTACCCAACGATGTGATACCTTGCTAGAGTTATAGGAGGCCGCTAGGTGGTGGGAGCTTGAGATTGAGTTGCAGCTAAGAGAGCAGAGGTAGGCCCCGACACAGTCACAGTTGGTGCCAAAGCAGTCTAAGAACGCTGATTCCCGATCAGGGTGACAGTAGAGTCGCACTTGTGGGAAGTGCGGAAAGGGTCATATGGGGGTTTGCCGATCATGGAGTGGGTACCACAAATGTGGCAAGTAGGGTCATCTTTCCAGGATTGCAGGTAGCAGACTCCAACTCCCAGAGTCAGACTTTGTTACCATTCTGAGCAGGTAGTCCATATGAAGGCCCAGTGTCCCCTACTAGCCGCCAAGCTGGCGCAGGCTCCCACGCCGGAAATACTGAGGATTACTGATGAGAGGTAGGGTAGAGCAGAGCCCCCGAGGGCTTAGGGACGCGCCTTCCAGCTCACAACGGAGGAGGCCAAGGTAGCACCAGACGTGGTTGGTAGTATTCATCTATCCCTTATCTTGTTGTTTATATATGTTTTATGCTTATCCATTTGTATCTGTGATTAGGTATGTTTTTAATGAACTCCTTGCCTGCCTTGGTTTTATTTGCTCAGGGGCGAGTCAGTCGTTTTTCTCTCAGATATTTAGTAGGGAGTTCGGTGTGCCAGTAGGACAGCTACAGTGTCCGTTGCGAGTCTTTATCGCCAACAAACACGGGGTTTCTGCTTCTTCAATATATCGGGGATGTGAGTTGGAGATCTTCAAGATGTCTTTCCGATAGACTTGATTCTGATTCTCATGGGGGATGTGTGTGTGATCATGAGTATAGACTGGCTTAGTCGCTTCGGTGCCATGATCGATTGCGAGGGTCAACAAGTGGTGGTTCGAACCCCAAGTGGGGGAGAACTGATTATCTATGGCGAGGGTACCAAATGGGATCAGGGTTTTGTTCAGCTGCCAGGGCTCGGCAGGTGTGCAGGTTATCTTGCGTATGTGGTGAATACGCGGGTCAGAGATCAAATTTCAGTTTCAGAGGTTCCGGTGGTTAGGGAGTTTGTCAATGTGTTCCCGGAGGAGTTACCAGGAGTGCCTCTGGAGAGGTAGGTCGAGTTCCTAGTGCCAGGTGCGGCCACTATCGCCAATGCGTTGTACCATTTGCACTACCATAGATGAAGGAGCTGTCATCACAGTTGTAGGAACTGTTGGGCAAGCAGTTCATCTATATGAGTAGTTCTCCATGGGGAGCGTCGATCCTCTTCGTCAGGAAGAAGGATGGTTCACACCGGATGTGCATTGACTACCGAGAATTAAACAAGTTGATGGTGAAGAATCGTTATCCACTCCCGAGGATAGATGATCTTTTCGATCAGTTACGAGGGGCATCTTGGATCTCCAAGATAAACATGAGGTACAGGTACCATCAGGTCAGGGTTAGGGAGGAGGACGTGGAGAAGACCGCATTCTGAACTCGTTATGGACATTACGAGTTCGTGGTGATTCCGTGTAGGCTCACCAACACACCTGCAATATTTATGGACCTGATTAATCGGGTCTACAGACCGATGCTCGATCGCTCGGTCATTGTATTCATAGACGATATCTTGGTATACTTCAAGACCCAAGAGCAGCATAAGGAGCATCTATGAGAGTTATTGGGAGTTTTGAGGTGAGAACGGAAATATGCCAAGTTCTTGAAGTGCGAGTTTTGGTTACGAGAGGTTCAGTTCCTTGGACACCTCGTTAACCAGGAGGGGATTTTGGTTGATCCTGCCAAAATCGAGGCAATTATGTAGTGGGAGGTTCTAAAATCTCCCTTGGATATCAGGAGCTTTTTGGGATTGGCAGGGTACTACTGGAGATTCATACAGGATTTCTCCAAGATTGTAGTACCCATCACTCGTCTGACAAGGAAAGGGGTGGATTTCTAGTGGGGCCCTGAGCAGCATAGGGCATTTTAGACCCTCAGACATTGACTTCGCGAGGCTTCATTTTTTACTCTCTCGGAGAGAGTTGAGGATTTTGTGGTGTTCTATGATGCATCCATTACGAGGTTGGGAGCGGTCCTCATGCGGAGAGGATAGGTGATAGCCTATGCATCGCAGCAGCTAAAGCCACATGAGACGAGATACCCTACTCATGATTTTGAGTTGGGAGTGGTGGTATTCGCTCCCAAGATTTGGAGACATTACCTCTACGGGGTCTGCTGTACCATATACACGAATCACAAGAGCCTGAGACACATCATGGATCAGCCAAACCTGAACATGAGACAGCGCAGGTAGCTGGATGTAGTAAAGGACTGCGATTATGAGATCCTTTACTACCCAGGTAAAGCGAACGTGGTTGCAGACACTTTGAGCTG